AATAGAAGAGGCGAAAATAAGAGATAAAAATTACAAATATAATTATTTTTTTAAATTAAGGGAAGAAAGAAAGCGAGAGAACAAGAGACGGAGAGAGAGAGAGTGTGTGTGTGTGTGTGAAAGAGAAGAAAGGAAAGAACGAAGAAATAAATAAGTCAATAGCAAAATTAAATAAATATAATGACCTCAAAAAATACTTAAAAGGGTTAAACAACTTAATATACCATGTAAGGGAAGTAAGAGTTACAACAATTTGACAAATAAAGTCATATTATTTTAGACAGCAATCATCATCGAATAATACGATCGTCATAATTTTAAACCAATAATAATAATAATAATAATATCCAACATAAATAAAATAATATAATAAAATATTACAATAAAATAAATAGAACTAATATAAATAATCATAAAGAACAAATATAGAAAAAGTGATAAGGATAAAAATAATAAAGATAATATTATTAATAATAGTAAAATATAAAACATATAAATCATTAATCATTTTAAATGATGTAGGCATCAGCAAGTCAGTCACATGAATAATTAAATATATCTACAGACACATGTATAAAAATGTGTGAGAAGCAGTATGACTACGTATACACATATATACATATGAATACGCGTACACACATATTTTGTATCCATATAAAAAAATATGTATCAACACTTCAAGTGTTTATCCCCCAAAGTCAATATTTTTTAGGGAATTAAAATTTGCTCTTATGTCTACACTTGAAAATAAATTAATTTCTTTGATTTAATAATTGGTCAGCATTTTTATATTTAATTATTACTCTCTTGTATGCATAGTTGTCGGAAGTTTGATTTTAATCTCTTGTATTCATAGTTGTTGGGAGTTTAAGACTGACAGAAGATATCCCATTTAATTTGTTAGATGAAGCCTCGATCTTTAAGTTCCAAGTAATGCTTAGATAGAGCAGTTTGGTGTCTTAAAGAAGTATTGGAGAAGGAATGATGGTGATTGTAGAGTCTCTTTTTCCAATTCCCAGCGGATATCCCTATGTATACCTTTTTATCATTAATAATTTCTTTTGGAAAAATGTTACCTTGGTATATCAGATTTTCCGAATTACAGATTCCTCCGACTACGCAGTTGGTTTCGGTTCTACCATTATAAAAGAGCTTGTTTTCTGGTGTATTACCGTCATAAAGTGTGTTTCATATGTGGTTGTTATGTGAGTCCATGGTATTATTATGCTATTAGTGCAGAAAACAGAGACTCTACAATTTGTTCTTTATGATTATCTAAATTTATTGGTTCTTTTTTGATTTATTGATTTATTTATTTAATATACTTTATTATATTATTTTATTATATTATTTTATATCATCTGATTTATGTTGGATATTATTATTATTATTACTATTATTATTATTATTATTCGTAATATTAGTAGTTTAAAATTATGATGATCGTGTAATGTGATGAAGATTGCTGTCTCAAATGACATGACATGACAAATTGTTGCAACTCTTTAACTTCCGATCCCCCTCTTCCTTCACATACATAGTATATTAACTTGTACAGCCCTTTTAAGAAAAACTTTTTCTAGGTCATTCTATATATTTTTGCAATTAGCTTCTCATTTATTTCTTCCTTCTTTCCTTTCTTTTCTTTCACAATTCACTCTCTACCTCTCTCTTCACCACTCTCTCTCTCTTACTTCTTTTTAATTTTTTTTATATTTGTAATTTTTTTCTTTTTTCCCCTTTTGTATTATTAATATTTTTTCTTTTTACCTTTCTTATTTTTTCTCTCTCTGTGTTTGCCTTTCTCCCTTGTATCCCTTGTATCTGTCTGTCTGGATTAATTCCATTTCTTAAAAATTTTCGGTCTGAAGGGATGAATATAACAATATTCATGAAATAAATTATAACCGAAATGGATTTTTTAAGGTGTTTTCATGATATATATATATATATATATATATATATATATATATATATATATATATATGAGATAACGATATATATATTTTTTATATCAAGAACAAAATTGGGGAAATATATGGCAACTTGGAAAAAGTTTTTTGTGATGCGTTTCGTTCTTTAAGACTTCGTCGAACTAAATTTGTTTGGGTGGTGCGATTACACATTACATGAATGTAGGATGCTGGAAATTTTAGTCGCATGTCTAGTCGCACCAACATAACACATTTACTCCGATGAACTCCTAAAGGACAAAAGTTAAACTGATGGACTTTATTAAGGTAAATATAAAGATTTTATTTTGCAACAATTATTTATAAACAGAAATAAAAACTTCGTTAGATTTTAAAATTTTTAAATTTAAGAACACTTATCAATATAATTCATGCTAACTGAAAGTCAAGATAAAGCATGGCCGATGCTAGTTTAATGTCGTATAAGCGAGAGCGAGTAAATACTGATAATATTGTTGATAGATCTGTTTTACAAGATGATTATTATTTATATTATTTTAGTTTGTGATTAATTTATGTTATATATTTTAAATAAGAGAAGGTCTTGAATTTAACCATTTTCTTTTCATTTTAATTGTTATAGTCATGTATGTTAGATTGGGAAACGAGTATTTCTGCTAAGAAACGAAATATTTCAAAAAATATTTTGGTAAGATTCGATAGCGGCAAACACAAGAATTTTTCGTTTAAGTAGTTTACTTGCATTCTTTAGATCGAATTTGTCGTTGAACTTCTTTCTATGACTAATGCATTTGATAAATTGTTGTGCAATAGATATTTTTTGTGTTCACAAATAGTTCCTACACATACAGATACACACATATGTGTGTGTGTGTGTATTTCGTAACTAGTCATTGTGTAGATATTTATTCAGCTTTACTTGGCCTAGAACAGGTAAATGCCTCGCTGTTTTCCAAAAAAAACAAAAGAATGTGACTCAATTGTTTTCTGAAGAACCCACGTTTCGATTCCACCATATTGTTTATCTTGTTTAGGTTCATCTTAACTATATTAGGCAACCTGATATGTCTCAACCTCTGCTTTTATAAGGGAAAAGAAATAATAGTGGATTACGTAATCGATGGCTGGATATGTTATTATTTGCTTGATTTTGATATTTAAAGCTAGGGCTTTCTATCAGTATGATTAATATTCGCGACAAATATGCATAACAATTATTTAGCTTGTAAATTAAAAATAAAATTCATCACTAAGGTGCAATCGAAAGTATATATCCCGATCTTAACTTTCTTTCATGCGGGATGTCAGGCGATGGTCAAAGGTGCTCGGAACATTAGTACAACTGCGGCAACATCCTTTGCAAGTTGTATCAACATTAATTGACAAGTACCATTTGTTTATTTTTTTAAATTATAGTTGTCCAATAAGTTTTAGCACATCCAGATGGAAATAGTGGCTAGACATTTCACAGTTCGTGTTTCGCTTCGACCTCCACGGTTATTTCCAAGAATTAAATATCTGGGACAAAGGTTGTTGGCTACAACCTGGTAAAGTATAGGACTTTTCAGACCCAAGGATTATATTCGCAGATGGCAAGAAACCAGATATATATTAACCAACGCTTTAATCGTGTATAACACACACACACACGCGCACGCACGCACACACACACGCACGCACACACACACATATATATATATATATATATATATATATATATCATTCGCCCTAAGCAAGGCGATAAAGCCACTCAAACGCAGGGAAGATTTAGGGAGAAGTGTGGAAAAGGGCAATAAAGGAAAAACTTTTAGGAAGACTGAAGATGGAGATTGAAGTTGAATGTAAATTTTTGAAGACTGTAGGTTGGAAGGAAGCAAGAATTGGAAAGGACTTCCACAGGCGACAAGTGCGAGAAAAACTATTAGAATAGAACATACGGTTATATCTACTTTGCTCAGCTGGAAAACAGTGAGACCTAGTTGCCAATCTAGTAGTACACTTAAATTCCTGCTATGTCATTACTAAGGAGGAATACTCATCAGAACAATTCCCATGAAAATATTAGTAGAAATGAGAGAGAGAAGCTACGTCAGGTCGGAGAGAAATTGACTGAAGTCAAGATGGCAGCCCAGGAACGATTACAATACAGACCCTTTGAATTTTGTCAATAATTTCTGCCTGTGCTGTTGGAGCACCAGACCAGATAAGGTAGCAGTGTTCAATGCACAATCGAATGATAGATTTATAAATGTATAAGATGAAAACTGAAGATCACGGTTATTTGCTTATCAAGAATATGTGAAGAATCAGCAATATTATTGGTCCTTATCTGGCATCTGGGTTTCAGTTACTTTCCCACCACCGTAAAGTTGACTTTCTGTGACTTTTCTATAAATACTTTCATGGTAATTGTTCGGATGAGCTCTTTGCTATGGTACCTAGACTTTTTGAATTTAAGCGCAGCACTAGACTGGCATCGAAATCTCATCGGTTTACAGTTAAGCTGGCTAGATGGAAGCGTAAATTTCATGCTAATAGTTTATTTTCTCGCTTGTGGAACTCCATTACGGTTCCATGCTCTCCAGCCAACTTTCATCTGCAAAAATGTAAAAGCAATGTCAATCGCTATCTACTGTCCTCCTGATTACCCTTTCCTCTACCCGCTCATTATTAATGTTTCTGTTTATAATTCTTCTACATCGTGCAATCCCTTGTATCTCAGTGTCGTTACTACCTTGCATGGGGTGATAACGATTTATAAAGAGTGTCAAAATATTTTGGTGATGGAATTCATCTAAAAGATATAGCAACTTTGTCCTTTTTAAATACTTGTAAATAACGAACAGCATGCCGAGCCAATATATAATCGGACTGAACTTAACTTATCCAATGTCCTTTCGTAATCTAATTCTAAACCAGGAGATTAATCGACAGCGAAGAAGGAAGATTAAAAGAAACAGTAAGAAGATGAGACACAGAATGAGCGACTTGAATATTCTGGAAAGAAATGAAGATACAAGACTGTAGAAAGGTCAAAGGAGACGCAGAGAGACACAGGAACAAGGAATGAGAAGGGAAAAGAAGGAGGGAAAGAAGCGAAATGTTGTAAGGATGAAATAAGGAAGAAGGAATGATACGAAACACGTGGAGGGGAGAGGAGGGACTCTACTGACAAGTGGCGAAGTCCTTATCTCAGCTGCCGTCGCTACATCGACTGTGCCTCCTCTCGTGAGGAGAGTATGGACCGAATGTTTACCAATTAAATGCGAATGAGATGAGATGTTGAAACACTAGAGAGTTTGGCATCATAGCAAAGAACCGGACTGTTCTTGACATCACTCAGCATGCTGCATCAACTCTTCTAGCTTTTCCATTTCATTGCCGAAATCTATCTATCTATCTATCTATCTATCTATCTATCTATCTATTTCATTCTTTTCAATATCTATCTATCTATCTATCTATCTATCTATCTATCTATCTATCTATCTATTTCATTCTTTTCAATATCTATCTATCTATCTATCTATCTATCTATCTATCTATCTATCTATCTATCTATCTATCTATCTATTTCATTCTTTTCAATATCTATCTATCTATCTATCTATCTATCTATCTATCTATCTATCTATCTATTTCATTCTTTTCAATATGTATATCTATCTATCTATCTATCTATCTATCATCTATCTATCTATCTATCTCATTCTGTTTTTAGGAACTGTCCTGGCCATATTATCTTGACACTCGTAGTATGATCAGCAATAATAATAGATCCATTTATTATTATTTCTTACCAAAATATTTTCGACTAGTATTATTGTTATTATTAATATGTATTTAATTTCATTTTAATATTTAGCTGCTCTTTTATCATATATTACTAGGGCCGTCGAACTAAGGAATCGAGCACAGCGGGGATATGAAATAATAAATAGAAAATAAGAGTCAAAATTAATCATAATATTCTTTGAGAATGCTTTATCAACAAATAAAAAAATATAAATAATATTGTTGCTTCAATGTCAGCAATTAAAATCTAGGGCTGAAGTACTTATTTCAATTTTAATGGGAGAGATAAAACACAAGGAATTGCAAGATAATAATACACGTTGTTATTTTCAGTAAATAATTCTAAGTAATTCGAATACAAAATAATTCAAAAATATGGGACACCCCACCAAAAAAAATCGCTTTCTCATTAAAATATATTGTATATAAAAGTTGTGCTTATTGAAGGTCTGACGAACAAATTAATCTAAAATATACTAAAAAAATATTTGTATAAAAGCCGAGGCGAATGTATTAATTAAGATCGATATGTCAAAAACTGATTTTTAAATACAAAGAAAAGTGTAAAACAAAATCGAAAGAAAGTTGCATTTTAAAGTTGTATATTTTAGAGGAAAAATGACAACGTAGCAAATATGTTCGTGTGTCGCGTTTCGTTCTTTAGTACATCATCAGGACTAAGTTTATGTTTACGTTGAGGCGAGTTCACATGAACACGAACGAATGACGAGGATTTAAAGATGATTATTTTTGTATATTAACCCTAGAACACTAACTATGGGGATATAGTACCCAGCTCAAAATTTCCGATTTTTAATTACAATTTTCAGTACCTGATTTGCTTACTTAAATAATATGTTTTTCAGTTCCTATTAATGTTAACACAAAGTAGAAAGTTTGAAGTACCTGCAGGTAAAATATTTCAAATAAAGATTTATATTTAACTAGCAGCATGGCCCGGCGTTGCCCGTGCTTGATTAAAAAATAGTACGACTAATACAGCAATCGCTATCACTTGACTTAAAATATTTTTGCCCTTACATGCCTTACTCCTTGCCTATATCACACTGCCAACTTTTTCTAAGCTCTATAGTAAACATTAAATCTGTTACGAAAAAAGAACTAAACAAAATAAACACAATACGATCAACTTTAAAAAAACGGAAAAACATTTTTAAGGGTTGACCGATTGTCGATTTGCGCTCTGTTTGGAGGGTGTTTAGAGATGAAACTTCACATGATGACTCCCAATGGCCTCTTCATAAATCCGTTCGGTTTTCGCTAAAAACCGACATGCGGTTCAGACGCAATCTGGGCGTATCGGTTTTTGGGTTTTATCGATTTTCCGCGCTGTTTAGGGGTCCGTGGTCATGAAACTTCTGGACAACACTTCTAATGGTAGACTCTAAGAGGGTGTCAAATTTGGTTGAAATGCGATCATTCCTTCTGTAAGCAGAACTTTTTCGATTATCGATTTTTTCGATTATCGATTTTTTCAGAACCTGATTCCGAACTCAAAAATCGGGCTCCCTCATGTCCTTACGGCAGCCATTTGCAAACTTGTGTTGAAAACCGCATCGAAATCGGGTGAGAAATGCGGCCTGGGCGAGGAAACAACACCCACGACAGACAGACAGACAACATGAGAAATATAGATAGTAGATATTATTTTTTGATATTTTCAAAATCGGGTATGATATACCCATGGTTAGTAGTAGTGTAAATTTAATTGATGGTTAGTGTTCTAGGGTTAAAAAAGAGAAAAGGAAAATCTTCAAACATCTTTTTTTTTATTTTCTTCGAATCTTTGTCAAAGCTAAACGTCTAGAATACTATAATCCTTTGGTCAAGTTCAAGGTGACATATCCACTCAGCTCTTTCATGGTGGTTTGTAGATTCCAAACGAAATTGAAGACTGGTAAATTTTCTGGTTATCTATTATGTTCAACATTTTGGTTAAAATAAAGCTTTTCGAAAAGAATTCACGTCTCCTTGACATACGCGATCCTGTTCTTTATTAAACTCTACAAAAAAAAGTAAATATTTTGTTCTTCCCAGCTTGAGAAAACACGATGAAAATGTAAGAGAAAATTCATGATGGTCAATAGCGTTTGTTTCCATGAAAAGTACAATGCGTTTTCTTTCAGAGCAAAACATCCAGCTACAAAGTTGGGTTTATTATGATAGAATTTTTAAAAAAGAAAAAAAGAAACTTTTCCCAGGTGACCAAGATTGTGTATTTCAGAATGCAAGCATAGGTAAAAAATAGGATGTACATTGTTCAAGGCGACTATTTTTTCAGTTTTTATCTACACCTTGATCAAAGGTACACAAAAGAAAAAAATCAGGAAATTCATTCAATAACAACGGAATGTTTTGAGACTTACATATTCTATTTGGATTGAAATAGTTCAACCTCAGCCTTAGATTTTAACAATTAAACGAAACAAGAATATCATTTCTTTTATTTTGGAGCGTGGCTATGATAAGAATTACCCATTAACTGTAAGAAGAAAGAATGCATGTTTGATTTTATTTTACAATAAATACATTGTTCGTGGCAAGAGTCCAAGGAAGAAGAAAGAAAAGCGGGTAATCACTAACTATTTTACTCTAAGCTAATTTGATTCACGGTCCATTGATTCTAACAAATGGCACAAAAACCACAAGAACTCATCCATCCAATCCAAACAAGTACTAAAATACCACATTTTCACCGGAGACATAATGATGCACCCATAATGGTAAACCATTCTGGAAATATATGCAAAATATTTTTTTACAAAATATATAAAAATTTACAATTGCATTAAAAGGGGAGGAGTGTAAGCCAGGTAAACAAAATAAAAGATTAAATAAACATTTAAAAGAAATTCAATCTGAGTTAGTGAGGAACTGTCCGAGCCACAAAAATGAATATGGCAACTGTATTCTACCGATAGAGAAAATCCAAAAGCTCACCCGCTAGTACTTGAGGAGGGACGAAAAAAATCAGGTCTGCAAGAATATAAGAGGCTAGGAAAAGTGTGTGGTACGTACTGGGGACCTAGGGAATCATGAAAAGCTCCATAATAAAAGAGGAGAACAGGACTGACAGTCACTCATATTAACTAGGAGAACCAAAGAGTCAAACTTAACTAGGGGTTGGATTCACTAGGAATCCGCTTCGTTGTGACTTCAGGGGACTAAAAAAGAAAATCAAGTTTGGCCCGATTAACGCTAACCAGTCTCGCATCTCGCATCTCGCATCTCGCACCGTCCTTTTGCTGGAATCTACCGAAAACAATTGATACTCATGAGTGCTGATCTTCATCCTGATCTGATGCCCAAAGAATCCAATCAGATCCTGATGAGTATGAGAATGTATAGTTGCCAACAAGATAAAAGCCGAAGATATTAAGTGTGAATTGTAGTCAAGATTAAATAAGTACATAGATTTAAATATCGGGAAAGTGTTTTAACAGGGGATGAAAAATACGATACTGAAATCCAAACACGCACTGGATTAGTCTGTATTCCAAATATTAAACAAGTTACTAAGAAACAAGATTTCGTTAGAAGCAAGAAAATAGGGCTGAAATGCTATGTTGCATCAATCTGCTTGTATGGCAATGGATTCGGGACAACTTCTCCACAGATGAAGGGAAACTGGGGACAGCAGAATTCTGGTTCTACAAAACAATGCTGTGAATTCCATAGATGAAGTGCGTAAGCAACGTAGAAATCTTAAGGAAAATGGTAACAAAAATAAAAATTTATACACAGAATCAGAAAAAAGACAGCTGTGATTTATTGAGCACATAATAAGAGAGAAGGGCTAGGTGAATTTAACACTCACACAGCATTTTGAGGGTAAAAAGGATAGGGGAAGGCAGCAGGTCAGCTACCTGACGAGCTTCAGTGAACAGACGATAGAACAGGGAGTGAGAGGCTTGGTAATGGACAAATGTCGCTAAGGGTCTTGAAGAGAAGAAATGCATCAACTAATCTTACGATTAATTTTGACGCGTATTTTCTCCTATTCCCCTGTAAATTGACAAAGGTGCGATAAGATCGCTGCTGAAAACTAAAATGAAGTGTGAGAACAGTAAAAAGAAATAGGATGAAAAATCTCAGTTGCCGTTGAATCCAAAACAAAGAAAATGATGACCAATTATGATGAGGGCTAGAGATACAATTTCAGATACATGAGCGCCGATTTTCGAGACTAGTATCTCTATCTTATTTTTTTTCTACAACAACCTTAACATAATGTAACTAGTCCGAGAAAATCAGTGTATAATAATAGTAATTCCTTATCGCAGAAATATCTGAAATGTTATGGTGACGAGCAAGATGCCGACATATAACTGAATACTTCAGTTCATTCTTCATCAAAAAAGAAGACACAACATTCTCTGTATGTTTGAGATGAAAGAAGCGCTTTTCTATACCTTTCGGCCAAATCAATTTTTCTGTTCAAACTCAAACTGGATTTAATTTTGTTACCGGAAAAAGAGCCTTGCCTAGATTTTTAACATTATATATGGAAATTTACTAAGGGTATCGTAGATGCAGCACAGGACTAAAAGTATCGAGAACCCAGTGAGAATCAAACTCACTGTTGTTGTACATGTGTTTGAAACTGTAAAGAATATGTCGATGGTAATATGATAAAAGTGTTAGCGAAACTGAAATTCGATCCAAAGAGTTACATCGGATTAGATAATAATAATAATAATAATAATAATAATAATAATAATAATAAAAAACATAACCATAAACATAAATATAATGTTATGCAATTTCTAAAGAAATCCCCAAAATGAATATCCCCATGAAATGATAAGGTAACCAAATTTTGGTTCTAGTATTTATCATCAATGTGTAAAACTCTTGGTCAAACTTTATCAATGCTAAATAATAACCCCAATGAAATTCCGGAAAGTATTACTGAAGGTATTACATATCTAGCAAAAAACAGATGAAACAAATGATCCTCAAAATTTGATCACGTCTGTCCTGACGAACTGTACTTACTCTTTTCTCTATGAAAACAACATCCTTCCTCTGGAGCAGAAAGGATGTCGAAGAGGTTCATATGAATGCAAAGATCAACAACTAATAAATAAAATTATCCTGGAAAATTGCAGGGAAAAAGGTAGAAAACTCAGATTCGATAGATTACCGTAAAGATTTTGATAGTCTGCCACATTCTTGTGTCCTTAAGGCTTTGGAAATGATAAAGTCTTTTCGGTGATAGCAAATTTCCTAAAATATAATATGGAAATGTAGAAACCCACATTATACATAAATCAGACCAAAGACATGTCCACTTGCAATTGTTTGAACATCGGACGGAGATTCTTTCAAGGAAACTGTTGCCCCTTCTGTTCTGTAATCCCCATTTCACATGATTAAGCAGTAATAACTATGGATACAAAGTAAAAAAAAGAAAGTATTTAATAACCTCTTCTACATGGATGATATCAAGCTCTTTGCCAAGACGACAGTGAGTTGAAGAGTATCCTTAATACTGTAAAATGTTTCATTGATTACATCGGTATGGATTTTGGATTAGATAAATGTGCAAAAGTAACACCCAAGAAAGGGAGAAATGAAAAAAACAAAAACAAAAAAAAACACTCAATTGATCTAGATTTTGTCACAAAGATTAGGGAAATGGAACAAGTAGAAGCCTATAAATACCTAGGATTCAGCGGAGATGCAATACAGCATATCCAAATGAAGGAGAAAATAAGAAAAGAATACTACAGGCGTGTGTGTCTGGTGTTAAATACTGTATTGAATTTACAGAACAGAATACCAGCCATAAACTCATTGGTTGTCCCTCTGGTGCAATACAGTTCCAACATCCTTAATTGAACCATAGCTGACATTAAGCAAATGAATATCAAAAAAGAAAGCTTCGCATGTTGTACCGCATGAATCATCCAAAAGGCTGATGTTGATAGTCTCTATATGCCCAGATCCAAAGGAGGCAGAGGGTTATTTCAGCTAGAACTGTCTTACAAAACCACAACAATTGATTTTTAAAGGTGCCTGGAAACTACAGAAGACTGGATGAGGATCTGTATAAGAAAACATGAAAGAAATAAGAAAATGTATTCAGTAGCAATGGAAACCAACAAATTCAAATGGGAATTTCAAGTGAGTAAAGAAATTCAAATAAACCATAATACACCTACAGTAAAAGACCTAAAAAAGGAGACACACGTAAATACAATGTATCAGATGTAGAAATGATGACAAGATAAGCATATTCATGTTCAATAATCTGCCCGTACCAAACAAGCTGATGTAGACAAAACCATTGCTGGCTTCGTAGTGCAGGATTAAAAGCTGAAATCGAAGGCTTTATTCTTGCTGCACAGAACCAATGATTACTAACTAGAAGTTACCAAGAGCATAAACTGAAAAACTGTGTTAACACGAAATGAAGAATCATTGATAAATACATCACCCAGACCCGGCTACAAAGATAGGACCTGTACCAATTGTATGGGGTTTACAATACACACAAACAGAATATTCAAAACTAATTGCCCAGACATAGTGATCAAAGACCACAGAAACAGAATGTGCTTTCTTATTGACACGACAGTGCCTGCAGATGGTAATGTATCTTTGAAGATTTAAAAAAATAAATATCAAAATACAAGGATCTTCAAATGGAAATCTCAAACTTTGGGCATATTTGGACATCAAAAATTGCAGTTCTGGTTGGAGTCATCGGATGATTGGAAAATGGTCCAATATACTTATTGAAGAGATTTCAGGTAGCTCATTCCGTAAAGAAAGAAAAATTGTACTTACAAGTACAGCTCACACATTACGAAGAGCGTTATCTATGTAAAAACTGTGTGATCAATTTTTTTTATTTTTACGAATATGATTAGTGGAAAATTTCATAAAACATTTCTGACCTTAGTTCGCCGATTGTCACCCGAAAGGAATTGTGTACACAACAGAAATCCAAAGAAATAATAATAATAATAATAATAATAATAATAATAATAATAATAATAATAATAACAAGCCAAAGAAAAGAGTCGAAAACCACTAAGTCAACAACCAAAGATTACATTCTAGACAACCCCGTCGTTGAAAAAAAAATAAAAAAATATAAACAGAAATGAAACAAAAATACCTCCACATCAATGTGTCTGTACCTGGTGACTGTTTCAAGGTAGAAGAAGTTGACAATCTTAAGAAATACACCGACCTCCGGATTGAAGTTAACATAATATGTTACTTCCATGCCACTATATTTTCAGTTATAATTAGCACGTTATGATCCTTACCATTATACCACAACAAAGCCCTCCATTATTAAAATCGGAACAGAGCTAGAAATTTAGATACATTCACCGGGCTACAAAAGTACTTTATATAAATATGCTTTTAAAAAATTCAAAACGTTGTAAATATCAAATTTTAATAACGAATATATACAAAAAAAATACTGTATTACTGGCAGTAAAAAAAACAAATGATTCATACACAAAATAAATTCAATGTGGTTTTTGACATTGCTTTCCTTTTATAAGATTGTCAGTATCTGCTTTTAAGGTACTAGTGTTTATTCTAAGAATGGGAATTACTCAAGTTTTTTCAGCAGTTTTGATATTTTTATGCAAGAAAAGAAATGTTCACAGCAGTATGCACTATCCCATATGTATAACAATTTTCTAGATAAGATAAATAATTTCTATTTAGCTATGGCTCTTGCCCCACACAGCAGCTGGCGTGTCTCCCCTTTTAGTGCAATAAGGAAGTAGACCTACTAGCATAATCTAAGAATAATTTTATCGACATACCTTACAATAGTCAATGATTAGGCTAATGTTCTTCAGTCTGGTATACTCTTCTTATTTAACGGTATGTCATGACGAGTATATCGAGCTTTGTATATTTGTGTTACAACATCACTTTGTTGACGTGATGCTCACTCATTCAATAATAATAATAATAATAATAATAATAATAATAATAATAATAATAATAATAATGTTCATAGATTAAGAACATCGGAATAAAGCCTCGTATCTCATCGCTTCAGAGGTCTACGTTGCTTGTTACAGCAAATAGTGCGCGAAATGTGCTATCTGTTTGACGTTGTGCGACTTGATCGTGAACATCCACAATGTTTTCACGTTGAGAAGGATATACCGTACAGAAGAAAACAACAACATCAATAATAATAATAATAATAATAATAATAATAATAATAATAATAATGATAATAATAATAATAATAATAATAATCAGATATAAATGATAACAAACTTTCTTCGTTATGTTTGTGTGATTCTTATCATAGCACACCAAGAACAGCACAGTGTCGAGCAATGTTTATCAGCAAAATATCATTAAAGGTGTCTAACTTTAACGAATAAAGAAATCCCTTTCCAATCGAATTACCGGTTTTCGAGTAATTTTTAATTAACAAATATTATTATTGCGATCATTAATATTATCATTATCGTCATCCTTTTTTATCCTTATTTTATTAATATTACTTTTTAAATTTAACCTGCTTTATTTTCGTGCATATTATTATTATTATTGTTATTGTTATTGTTATTATTATTGTTATTGTTGTTGTTATTCGTATTATTATTATTAGATTCTAAGAGAACATCACGACAAAGGCAGTGTTCCTTGTGGCGGGAAGCATCCGTCATTTTTTTTTCATTCCAGTTTTGGTGGCGGTAAAAAAAAACTGCAAAAAAAATGAATAAAGAAGTCAAAACAAATCAAATCTGCGTTGGTTAACGAGCCTTCCATTGAGTTTCTCACCACCATCTCAAGCAAATTGGGGTTTCCCCCGGTCAGGGTAACATCTTTTTCGAAGGGCCAATTAAAATGGCCCTTGAGGCTGGTTGCTGAAGTCGTTACGGAAGTGACGTCATATTACGCTCCTAGAGCGAATCTCAAAATGTTGTCTATAATTGTGTGCAAGCATTTTTTTTATGTGTGAGAGTGTTTGTAGTAGTAAATGTACTCGACCCTCAATGTTTGTATCGGTAACTTAGAGCGAATGAGGGAAAAACCAGAGAAAGAGAGAATAATGTTAAAAGAGAGAATGACGAAAATAAAAAAAGAGAAAAAGCGGTGCAAGGAAAAAAAAAGAGAATGAGAAAAAGAGAGCGAGAGATGGAAAAATGTTTACATAAGCATATATATATATATATATATATATATATATATATATATATATATCAGCGAGTTTGTTCCAATTTAGATATGTCTAATAATTTAAATGAAAATGTATAATTAATATTTGGAAATGCGTAAAGATACGCACACACGCACACGCGCACACACACACACTCACTCTCTCTCTCTCACACACACACACTAACGCACACGCACATATGCACACACACTTATATATGTGGAAGTATATATACTTTTCTCTATAACAGAACACTATTAGACAATGACAACGACAAAGTGAAAAAATTCTGTGTAGCGCTTTTCGTCCTTTAGAATCCGATGAATTTTGAGCAGACAAAAAGCATTATAGACTTTATCATTCAGTCACTTGGTATCTATCTATCTATCTATCTATCTATCTATCTATCTATCTCTATGGATGATAGGATAAAGGACAAGTAGGAAACTGATCTTAATCTAACGTTTCCCTTTATTAAAGCTTCGTCAGAGATAATGATAGAAATAATAAAACAAACTGATAAAAAGCAGAGATGCAGATTAATGGTACATTGTGTTTTGTTAGTTCTTATTGGTTAGATACGTGTAATGATAACAAATACTATTCAGATGTGTGGAAGAAACATTCTGGACGCTAAAGTGTGTAAAAGAATGTTTTGAAAAACGTTTTGATTTGATTTTTCATTAAAGCATATCTTGTACGTATTTTTATATATCTTCATTGTTTTTTCATGTATAAGAAAGACATAAGTTAGATTCATGAATAATGGTTCTATAGAATAATGGTGAAGTAACATTTAAAACAATTACATTTCTTCACGTTTTTTTTTACAGATTTTTTCGTTTTTGGATCGAAATTGTCCGATTATTCTGAATTTCCCGAACGCTTTGGGCATTTATATTAGGCATGATCAAGGATGACTTTATTTTTACTCTTAACTGAATCTATGGATTTTTATGTATGTATGGAGATTTATAAGAATATTTTTATTTTCGAAACACGGTCAGAATATTGTGACCGTGTTTATGGTTGATGTTACTGAGTGTTGGCCTTTTCTTTTTATTAATAATTATTTTTAGCATTTTCTTTTACATTTGGTTGAAGCTCTTATATTTGTATTGTCTATGCGTATATTGTGGATGGAGTTTGGTAGGTCACCGTGTTCTTCAACTGAGACCTAAATGATCTATGGTCAGGGAGATGGCCATAGATTAAACAGAGTTTGAAAAATAAAAACATGTACCCCGTATTCAAACATGTACCCCTTACCTTTTGTTGGAGAACCTACCGTCTCACCCGGTATGCTTTAACCGTTCAGTCACAAAGAGCTTCACAATCAAAGAAGTTTCTTTTCGTCTTTAAAGAACACTCATTCAGACGTTCTTGAGAGGCATATCGGCTGTTTTGGTAGTAAGTAATAAAAGTATGTCGAAAGGAATAAAATATATCAGATTACAAATAAAAAACATTAATTCTTTAGGGATATATATATATATATATATATATATATATATATATATATATATATATATATATATATATCCGACATTTACTGAAAAGTGTTACGTAAAAATACTTCCCAGTATGTTTTCTGTAATGGTAGGATCATCTCAAGAGGCGTCATTTAAAGTTGATACCAGCCAAAATTGACAAGGTAAGGAAATATTGCTTGCATATGGGAATTGCTGGTTTTAAATTGTCACACTATCCCAGCGTACGCCACGATTGAAAATTACCGGGAAAACATACCACGGGTTAACCCAAAACATGTCAGTAAAATTGGGTAGAAAAAATGATTCAGAAGGAGTCGATATTTGTGTAAGCACGAAGTCACAAGTCATCGTAACCGAGTGCATTAACTTTGTTAAAAATGTTTATTATACCAGATTATGTACTGCCTTCCATAAACTGTAAAGAAGGTTCGTACAGTATAGTCGCGGTATTAACCACAGGTGGGATCGTAGTAAAAAAAACACAAATACTCAATATCACTCTCTCTCTCTCTCTCTCTTTCTTTCTCTTCTCTCTCTCTCTCTCTCTCTCTCTATATATATATATATATATATATATATATATATATATATATATATATCAATTATGTACGATAGGAATTTAAATGACCTCACAGCTTTGATCATTTCACCTTACAAGTTTGAAAGGATTTTCAAACAGAACAAAGTAATAAGATAAAATCATTTTATATAGCCTTGATCGGTTTGAAAGTCTTTGCAGAGTAATCTTAACTTGTAAAGTGAAATGATCATAACTCTGAGGAAATTGTATATTACTATTGTATGTAATTTAAATGCTTTGTTATTATAAATAAATACATTGGATCAATTTTAATATTTTATATTATTAGGATTCTCTTGGATTATATACCAACGGATTATTACCTATATATATATATATATATATATATATATATATATATATATATATATATATATATATATATATATATATATATATATGGGTAGGCTAAAACATTCAGGGAGAATATATCTGTAAAAGAACAATATGAATAAAACAAAAGGGAAACTTATCTTAGCTGCAGCATTTCATCCTCTGAGGGATTTGCATTGATAACGTCCCTTAGAGGACGAAACGCGTCGGCTTAACTTTTTCAAGTTTCCTCTTCTCTTTATTCATGCGCGCGCGCACGCACACACACACACATATCTATATATGATAGGAAAAGGAATAAATAGTAAACTTATATATGTCTAACATATTTCGTTTTTATTAACGCTTCACCAGGGAATGAAGTATGAAGGAGAAAGAGAACATTCTGCCATTTTTATTTTTTATTTTATTAGTTTTTCATTTGTTTAACAGCCTTCATGTTCAAGCAGCGTTCGTGTGTATAATTCATGTGTGTATTTGTATCACAATTTAATTTGTCTATGCGGGATTGTAATGCATATTTGTTTTTCTCACTCTTTCTCTCTCTTCTCCCAACCTCTGCATGCGTGCGCGCGTGCATGTTAAAGAATTGCTATTTTTTTTTAATTAGGGTTGTTGGCATTTAGCAAACTGAAGTTATGGCTTGTTTTATTTCTGTGTATTATAAATTTCATTATTTGATGAAGTTTTAATAAAAGCGAAACATTTTAAATCCATAAACATTTCACACACACACACACACATACACATATATATATATATATATATATATATATATATATATATATATATATATATATATATATATATATATATTGTTCTTCGCTACTTTCACATTCATGTTGACATGCCGCTTATTGCATATATATATATATATATATATATATATATATATATATATATATATATGTGTGTGTGTGTTAGTATGTATATTGCTCTGTATATATTTTTATACTTTGGCAGCTTAATTCTCAGAATTGTCATTCGAAGTAAAAAAAAACTACATAACTTGTCACTCTTGGCTGCTACCGCCATTAACTTATGCCCTTTCTAGAGATTTTTTTTGTATTTTATTTCGTGGGACGATGTTGCTATTGCGGAAAACCTTCTGGAAAGTCGTTTTTCTGAATATCTTTCTGTAATAGAGTCTCATGCCAGCTTTATCATTTCAGGCGATTTTCCGTTTAGAAGTTAACCCAAAATCGCTAAACTGGAGTTTAACATTTTCTTTTATGTGCCGTGACCCTTTAGGAAATAGTTATAATGGCCCTCCATATCTTCCTGCTCATTGCAATAAATTTTGCCGTTTTGTTACTTCTCCCAAACTTAGTTTTACTATCTAGTTACTGAAGTTCAAGTATGTTACGTGCTACTTTCCTCTGTCCCAATTTCCCCCAATCTGTCTTGTGAGTATTAGATTTGCTAAGCTGTCCTTCCTCATTACATGCCCCAGAAATTTCAACTCTTCCTGATGTTAAGTATAAGTTTCCTTTCTGTTTCCATTTTCTCTAAACCTCGTCATTGCTCACATGTTCAGTCCATGGTATCCTCAGCATCTTTCCATAGAGCCACATTTCTGTTGCTTCAAGTCTCTTCATCTTTGAGTAGATGTCCAGCATTCGCTGCCATACAGGAGGACAGGTATCATGCAATAGTTCAGTACTCTTTTCTTTGTTTCCAACGAAATTTTTCTGTCTCTTAATATTCTGCTTAGCTTTTGGAATGCATCTTTGGCTATCTCATTGTCCCTTTGGATTTCAATGTCTCATTTTTCATCCTTTGTTACATCACTTCCCAGATATTTAAATTTCTCTACATGCTTGATTTTAATATCCATGCCTTCTGAAGTATTTATGCTTAGTTTTTTCTTTTCGCTTTCCTTCGCTACCTTCTGTAGGAGGTTTTCTAGTCACCATTCCGTGTCTGCTATCAACACTGTGTCGTCTGATATCTTATATTGTTAATGAATCCTGATAGGACTTCTAATTCCCTCAGAATTGCCACGCTGCATAGTTTGAATAAATCCTGTGAGACGACATATTTTTGTCTTACACCCACACTGATATCCCATTTTCGTATATGATTTAATAGCTAGAATATTTCGATCTGAAGCATCAATTTGCTCCTCCCACGAATCGTCTGCTAGCATCTGTCGCACTGTCTCTCTGTTGACATTCAGTTATTCGATTAGGTGCTGTACACCTCATTTTCAATCTGAGTGCATCAAACCTCAAATTACTTTCCTATTTTCATCTTACTTTGTGTTTGCTGCCTGTCGAATTCTCACCTTCACTTTGAGTAGTGTTAAATGCACGTTGTAAACACCGAATCAGTAATAGTGAATCTGCTCTGAACTCAGATGGGAGATCACTGGACCATGTAATGCAAACCTCCTGTCAAGTATCAGATTGACATAACGCACAATGTGTTGATAAATAGATCAATCAATCACCATTCCTTTGATCGCCCGTGCTACTCAAAAATACTAAATTTCATCACAGTATCTTCATCAAAATCAATTTTACTAAGAATAAATCTTCACTAGTGTTTTATCAATCTTCAAACAAAATTTTACATTAATCCGCTGCTTCAAGTTCTTTTCAATCATTTTGCGCCAACAATATAACATGAACACATGCAAATTCTTTTAATGCTCGACAAGGAACGTCTCATCTTTCTCCTTATTTTGATGGCCATTTGTTTATCTGTAACACAATTATCTAATGCATTCTTGGGAAGTTTGTAATCAAGAAAATTTAAACGAGGTCTGAGATATTCAAGTCATTTGATGCAACATTTGGATCTGAAAAATCTAGCGTAGAAAATGTTGGAGGCAAAAACGTTGGAATAATTCTATTAATAATATGATTTCTGCGAAGCAGAACACAAAAGAAAGAATAATGAGAAAACATGGACAAATGTGCTCGTAACAAGATGCAATGTCAAAAGGACGGTTTTTCCCATGACACCGCTTTTTTAGCTACCTTCATTCTTCGGTAATGTTTATTGTTTTAAACAGCAATGATTTGAATCGTAAGAAAGTGTAAACATATAAAAGTGAATACACGTTCTTTGTATTTGAGAATTGAAAATAAAAAAATAATAAACAAAATTTATTTGTGGGAGAAACAGTCCTTTTGGCATTCCGCCTTATTGTCTTATTTGTCCATGTTAATCGAATAATGGATACTTGTATATAAATGATATAAAGAAAATAAGTGTTTTATTATTTTGTTTTAATAGAATCATATAATAATTTTGAATGTTCCTTCGTTTTTTAATACGTATGTTATGTCATGCTAATAATTCATGAATAATGGGGTATTCAGTTTGGATCGCGAGGAAAAACAGAAAAGACATATCAGAAACGCTGTTTGGTTTCAGCGAGAAAAAAGAAAGAAATTTATGATAGAGAAAGCAATAATGCTCTCAATTTTTAACGTCTGCATCATCGAATTGGTAAAAACTACATTTTTAATTATGATAATTATTGCAAAATTCTGTTAAAGTTGTTAAGCCCAAATATTTAATGATGGAATAAGAAAATTTCACGAGTATTCGAAAACTGAAATTGAAAAACCATGAAAATTTCACGGGTAGTACAAATAACAATAATATTGGAAAGAGAAAGCACTTGAGCAATTCTATAAAGGCAATAATAATTGAAAATGCACATTAATGCATATTAAAATTAATTAAAATTACAATCAACTTGCATGATATTATCGATGACAGACCCCTCTTTAAGTAAGCCAGTATATATTGGGTGATATGGAAAACCATCAACTGAGAGTACTCCATGAATAGATCGCTTCGAATCTGAATTGAATTAATGTCATTCTGGAGATAATTACGGTCAGCACAGCACCATATTTAATACTCATGGGTCTTATCTATCTATCTATCTATCTATCTATCTATCTATCTATCTATCTATCTATCGCATTGTTCGTATCTATCTATCTATCTATCTATCTATCTATCTATCTATCTATCTATCTATCTCCCTGTTCCCATCTATCTATCTATCTATCTATCTATATATATATATATATATATATATATATATATATATATATATATATATGCATGTATGCATGTACTTATTTATCTACAAATGGACAATTCACTCTCTGTGAAAGCACAGATTACGATGGACGGGTCATGTTGTCCATATGGCGGATGACAGAAATCCAAAGCAATTAATGTATGGAGAATTGGAAATGAGAAAAATACCGCAGCATAAGCCCAAACTTCGTTACAAAGATTGCCTTAAATAGTCAGTCACTGTACAAGTGCAATATTGGTCTGGATAACTGTGAGACACTTTCTGAAGATCATGTTTTTTGGTCTTGCTGACGGCGTCAAGATCTTCCATGAGGCGCCACAAAAATATGCATAACTGAAGAGAGAGGTTCGGAAGGGATCCCTGAATTGCCATGAGGTACCAACCTGGCCATGCGCCCAATGCAATCGGAATATGTCTGTCCAGGGCAGTTCTGCTCAGTCAGCAGAAATCACACCAACACCAGCAGTCTATTGTATATGACTAATTTGTAATGGCATGCTTTGAATGCCATACCTGAAATAGGTTCTGCAAGTCCATGTCGGATCTGACAAGGCATATGAAAAGGCACATTCGAAGTGATGATGATCAATGTCAACTTCCACCACCCGGAGATAATTTGATATGCCACATATGTGACGTGAAAGGCAGATCGGTGACTGGCTTTATGAGCCACTATAGTTCATACAACCGTGCAGTGTTGTGGGGGAATTTAACTGAAGAGCTGGGCATGCCAGTGATGGTTATACACTAAGTCGACAATGGTTATACACTAAGTCGACAACCACCATATCTTATCTATCTATGAAGCTATATATATATATATATATATATATATATATATATATATATATATATATATATATATATAGATAGATAGATAGATAGATACACATGCAATTAGTATATCTGTTACTTGAAATGTAATTATTACTTAATTTTTAATTTGAAATTTTCAGTGTATCTCAGCTGATTTCAAGTGAGAACACGAAAGACTAAATTTCTTTAAAAAATAAATATTTTTTGCGTAAGAAATAATTTCACTCCACCCCGCATTTGGATATATTGCAGCCCTTCTATGTTTTTATCAATAGGTGGTGTGGTTATGTCGCCTATCAATTGAACTGTCATACGATGGATAACGAGAGACAATTATTAATACTTGCATTGAGGAATAAATATTAAATGATGAATTTTGAGCGGGAAAAGTGTCTCAAGTGCTACTCAGACACAGAGACAATCGAAGAGGAATCGTTTCAATGTATTTATTTACCAAGATCCTTTCGGCTAAAATACGGCCCGTTAAGTAGAGTTTGATCCGAAAATACACATTTTATCTCAAGTAAAAAGAAGTTGAGCAAAGGAGAAACAATGGAAATTGAAGTGGAATTAAAAGAATTATTGTTTCAAAATTCTCTATTTCATATCCTTGAAATAAAAGAAAAACAGGTGCAAACTGGCGCTAAATGGCAGAAAGAATGTATATGCATGCGCACGTGTTTGTAAGCACATACATAAATACATACGCATACATACACACACACATATATATATATATATACATATATATGATATATATATTTATATATCAACAACAATATTGAAAAAATGTATGACAAAGTGTAAAATGTTTTCTTGTAACGCGTTTAGTCCTTTATAATTTAAACGAGCTAAAATATATATATATATATATATATATATATATATATATATATATATATATATATATATATATATATATATAAAGGAAAATGTATAGGCATACACACAATTTTGTTCCGATGGGTCTGAATAATTTACATCGTTCGCGGTGAATATGACAATAAAGATGGGGACAAGTGTCCGGAAGTTGTAAATAGACTAAATACTTACAATACTTCATCTGAGAAATATAGACAGATAATCTGAATATGTTAATTCTCGGAACGAAAATCGTCTTTTATATATATATATATATATATATATATATATATATATATATATATATATATTATATATTCGAAGATATTTTGTTAAATATAACAACGAATGTCTGGTCTGTTTTATCTTGAGTCTTTCCAAGCGTCGTATAATGACTTCAGTTTCAATGGAAAATAAAGATAAAACTCTCCATTTGGATATCTCTTTATTGTATTGGTCATCGTTCTAAGACTTCATGAATTTAAACTAGGTACTAAATTGATGGTAAGATTTCAGATTTTACTGTTGAAATGGTGAGATGTATCCGTAAGTTCCATGCCAATAGTTATTTCTATCGCATTTCTAGTTTAAGGAACACTTCTTACTTCCCAGTTAACTTTGATCTTCAAAAATTTAAATGCAATGTCAATCTTTTTTTTTTTAGTCTGCTTAATACTTATTCTTTATCGTTTGGTATCGTAGATAAGGAATTCGCATATTCAGTAACACTCAGAAACCACTTGCAACTTGGTGGCTTTATTACCTTGCTTGGTGTGAAATGATTAAAAGGAAAACAAGTCTCTTGAATTTCGCAATCCACGTAGGAACTTTTAAATTTAATCTTTTAGAATATGTATATATCTCATAAATTTCAGTCACCTGTGAATCCTTTAAACCAAACCAATAGTTAAACTAATAAAAATATTGAGCGTGGAAATAAAAGTATTGTAAGATATAAAAATTAATAGGGTTTGCATTTGTTAAGAAATCCGGACATTGCAAAACTTTTACGGTTGTAAATATTTGTCTTTAAACTATCAGTTCTTGTTAAAATGACCGTAATAGATGTGACAGACGAAAGTGTAAAAGGATATTTGAAACCCAGTTCGTACACGTGGTTCAGTCTCCTAATGATCTGACGTGTAAAATCCTTTAAACTTAAAACATATAAATATCAAATAATATTACTTTATCTGTCGCAAACTTGCGATATCTTAAAAAAAGGAATGATTTATCTAACCTTCATGGGCAAGATCTTATTGCATTTCTAACACTAAGGGACGCATCACACTTCACGATGTAAAGTTTTATTAGATTAATATATAACTGATTAGAGAAACGCGATGACACGCCATCCTTTAAGACTTTTGAAGAGAAAATGTAAACCTCTTTACCGTGCTCCAAATGGAAACCGGATATGTACGAAGGTTGTTGACAAGAGCCAAATTCTATGGGAATACGTTTACATAAAGGAAGACAATTCATGTCGTAAGACGGAGATGATTATGCAAACATGTATCACACTCTCATTATTTGTCATTGTATCTCTTTCTTTATATCTCTCGCTTCCAATCTATCTATGATAAAATATAGTTTTAATTTATGCAGAAAAGGGATGAATATCAGGTATAGAAATTGTGTAAATATAAAAATATAAAATGAACGGTGAAGTCAACACCGAGTACCGTCTGAATTTGAAATATAATCGTTGCTATCTAACCAACGAGCTTTTGGATAGCATAATAAACATTGTTACCCATAATGCACGTTTGTCCAGCATATATAAATAGTCGATGAAAAACACAACCCTCTTGGCCTGAAAATTCTGTTCAGGCTTGAAAGAGACTGCCAACGCCCCGTGGTGAATTCAGTGCCGACGTAATATCTATCTATCTATCTATCTATCTATCTATCTATCTATCTATATATATATATATATATATATATATATATATATAAATATATATATATGTGTGTGTGTGTGTGAGAGAGAGAGAGTGTAAGGGAGAGATTATAGTTTTCCCAACGAAAGAGAAGTGTATATTTAAAAGAGAATAGGGGAAAACAATTTTAAAAAATATATTATAATTCATTTTCCGTATTTTTTCTACATGTGTTTCTTCCGACCTTCCTGGACTTGTGGAGAATATTATGTATGTATGCTGTCTCGCTACCGGAGAGGAATATATATATATATATATATATATATATATATAGACAAGAACAATTTACTAACTACAATGATGCAGCTGTGGATATATTGTTTTTGTCTATATGAAAAAAATTATAATAAATAATTACTGCTCTACTATCGGTATTGATCCCTGTTTTGAATTAATGCTGTGAACGTTAGAATTTATATATTATTTTCATTCTCATTACATCATATATATATATATATATATATATATATATATATAATTTAAATGCTTAACAATATATTATTATATATGAAAATTTTCCCCGATTTAACCAGTAGAGAAGACAATATTTATGAATAAAAATGACAATAGGAAAACTGGTAATTGCTGACGCGTTTTGTCCAATGTGGACTTTATCAATTTCGTATTTTGCTTTGATAAAGTCCACATTGGGAAACGCGTCAGCAATTGCCAGTTTTCTCCTATTGTCATTTTTATTCATATATATATATATATATATATATATATATATATATATATATATATATATATATATAGTGGCCTGACGATTGCATCTAGCATGAAACAGACTGTCGCCTCTAAGTGTTGACTTCTATGTTCAATTTTATATTTACACGCTCTATCTCTGATATTGAGCACTTTATCCGATAAATATAACACATCTTAAGACTATATTTCTTCATATATATATTTGTCCATTTCATAATGTGTAACGTCATTTGTTTACATTTGGATACACATTGAGCAGATATGAATGTACGTGAGAGATTCGTGGAAATTTGTAGTTTAAAAGCAGTAAAATCGACCTTGCTAGTCGAACAATCATCTGTGGCTCAATCGGTGAAAGCACGTCAGGCTATATGACGGTTCGATTCCTTTCGGAATTATTTTCTATGAAGATTTCTCGGACATTCAGCCCGGTAAATGTTATTAATACTGTTTATTATAAAACGGAGCATTTACTTAAATATTTGTATGTATAAATAGAATGTATAAACATTTTTAAAATATAAATACATTCAACATTATCACTTGTTAAGACATCAGAGGTGTTGAAACAAAATGGCTCTTTTGTAGTGATTTTATAACATATTTATGTTATAATTTTTAAACAAATAATTATATATATATATATATATATATATATATATATATATATATATATATCTGGAAAAAGAGAGTAATATGTAATTCTATCTAGAGAAAATGTCTAGCACGTCAGAGTGAACCAATTTCCATAGCAGCAGAGCTAGAGATTGCTTAAGTATAATCTCGGCACTTGAAGTCGGCGGAAGACTTTAGCCTTAAAAGGAGCAATGAAGATATGTATCGTTTATGGAAATGGTGCCATATATGGGAAGACTCTCTATAAGCGGTTCATGTGGGTCAGAACTGGACATTTTGATCCGGAATCTCGAGAAATTTCTGCAACAAGTCTGCAGTTGCTAATGATGAGCAAATCGAATTGATTAAAATCATCCAGGTCAAATGACAAAAACTTCACCGAGATAGTTCACATATTTCATATGAGCGTTGTAAGTTTTCTGATAATGGTAGTATATTTGGGTAACTCGCGATTTAACGGTAAATAATTTTAAAATACTGCATTTCCATTTGTAAATATCTCCTCAAACACAAGAAAAACGGCACATTTTTAAAATGAATGTTCACAGCTGATGAGAAATGAATATCTTACAACAATGTGTAGAGAAATATATGTCAATACATATCATCGAACTATGTATGAGGTTATAAATGAAACATCATATAAGGAAGTTGTTCACTGGGGAATCAAAACGAGGTTGTAAAACAGATATTAATAATAAAAAAGACTGACTTTAAGAATATCACTAAAAGTCATCTGGAAAAAATAAAAAAAAGCTCATAAACAAGTAGAATTATTCTCCAGGCAGAAAATTTTAAAAGATTTCTTGTTGCGAATGTATCCAGAAATAAGACACCCATAATATTGAAAACATTGGCTAAATTTATATATATATATATATATATATATATATATATATATATAAGCAAATATTATATTCTTAAATATGACAAAAGAAAATATGTAAGTTTTGCGAAGAAGTATATGAAATCGATTTTCGAACTGCAATTTTTAGTTATTTATTTAAAGGTGCATTGGATAAAGCAAAAACTAACCAAACTTCCACACTTCCATAAGCATTACAAAACGAATTATGTAAATAGAGTTTAATTGTTTGTATTAATTTAGAGCGGATGGTGGTTAAACCTGATGGATTGTCTAAACGTTGCATCCTGCATGGAAACAATCAAGCAAAACAATATGAGGTCCAACAACAACAACAACAAAGCAAACACACTCATAAAATAAACACACACACATACACATATATGTATATTGTGTGTGTGTGTGTAGTCTAGATTACGCAAAAAAGAAAATAACAATGACATCTCATTTTAACAGATATATTTTACCAAAATTACGCAAAAAGATCTTGAAATACTAAAAAGTAAATTTATTCAATAAAATCGCTATTGGTTTCAACCACAGCTTCCAGACGACTTTGGAATTTTCTGAAACTCTTCTCTTGTTTAAGTTGGTCAAAACTGCCATAATCCATGCCTTCAATTCATCTTTGGTGTTACAAGGAGTTTTGTGGTTTCCCGCTCAATTGCGTCCCATACCTAATAATCAAGGGGTTTCAGTCTGTGCAGTTAGATGGCCAGATGTAAGCGGCCATGTGAAATTGTCTGACAGCCATGATTGTGTTTTTCTGCTAGTGTGGCATGGTGCAATGTCGTGTTGCCAGAAATACGCTCTTCCAGTAACCACCCACTCCATCCCGAGCAGCACTACTTCCTCAAGGAACTTGATGTAGGGCTCCGTGTTGCATATAAGGCCCTGAAGGAAGAGGCATAACGTCGACATCACGAGTGATCACACCAAAAACTTTCCTAATCAAACTCTTCCAGAATCCTGTGCGCTGTCCTCAGATTGATGCCAAAACAGCCTGAAATTTTCACGAAAGCCAAGCAGTATAAGCGTATCGTTCCCAAATTTCTGGCGGAGTGTATTGAGTCATGGTGGTCTTTTTCTCATATACAGTTGCCCAACTAACCCGACTATACTATGAAATCGATAAAAAAACAAAAAAAAACAAAAAAAAAACACGCATGCGCTAATTTAATAATATAAAATGCTGAGCATTTAACCATCGCACCATGTGTATATATATATATATATATATATATATATATATATATATATATATATAGGTGCGATGGTTAAATGGTCACATTTTACATCATTAAATTGAATTTTTTAATAATATATATATATATATATATATATATATATATATATATATATATATGGTCATATAATCTAGTATATATATATATATATATAGTATGGTATATATATATACACACAGTATGGTTAAATGGTCACCATTTTATATCATTAAATTGAATTTTTTAATAATATATATATATATATATATATTTGGTCATATAATCTAGTATATATATATATATATATATATATATATATATATATATATATATATATATACAGTATGGTATATATATATACACAGTATATATATATATATATATATATATATATATATATATATAAAATATGCAGCATATATTTTATATTACAAAGAGTTAATCATACCTTGAATCAATTAGCAATTTGTAATATATATATATATATATATATATATATATATATATATATATATATATATATATATATATATAAACAATCATTTGATACTGCAAAATTTAATAATTGCCATAAATAGGACAGAAAAATCGTTGGCAATATATCTATATATCTATCTATCTATCTATCTATCTATCTATATATATATATATATATATATATATATATTGTATGTACACATATCTATAAATATCTTGAATAAGAGAATGAAAGAGAAATTGATGTAACCTGATAAATTTTCGATGATTACCTGCCATGGCTGTGGTATTTGCAGTTCTTTCTATCAACCTTTCGATCCATAAACTTGCAGTTCAAATCAACTCTGTTTAATATAATATGCATGAAGCTGAAACAAATACACTTTCAACACGAACAAACTGAGTAGAAGCAAATAGTTCTGCACCTATGCTTCCTTATCAAACATGCTTTCATCAGGTTTGGCCTTACGCTTATGCTGTTTAATGGGGGAGAGTCTTTGGTCCGGAAACTAGAAATGGACATCATCAAGTGGTAATTTCATTACTGCCCTTATTATCACTGGATGCATCGGCTGTCTGGTTTATTAAGTATTGAAATGATAAATTTTGTTCCGTGTACATTTGGAAGAATAGCTCTATGTTTCGGTCACTGCAGTATATAGTCCTACATACAAACATTGTTAATTAAATATACTAATCAACACTTACTTAAAATTAACTTAAATACA